TGACGCTGTGCCATGGCGGGGATGACACGCTTCGCGGCGCGGTGGCGGCCGGCGCTGCCCGCCCTGCTGCCGCTGTTGCTCGCCGTGCCGGCGCTGCGGGGCTCTCCCGCTGCAGGTAAGGAACAAAGGCGGCCGGCAGGTGTGCGGGGCCCTGAACGGCCTCCCCGCACCGCGCCGCTAACAATGCCCGCTGCGTACCGCGGGGGCGCGTCGCGCGGCCCGGCCCCGCTGCGCCGTGCACGACACGCGGGAGGGGGTCCCGCCGCCAGGGTACGGCTGAGGCTGCGGCGCCGCTTCGCCCCGAGTCCCGCGGGCCGGGAACGGCCGCTGCGTGCGGGAGGCGCGCGGGGCTGCCCGGGACTGCCCGGGTCAGCGGCACCGCTCACTCTCCTTTCTTCTGTTCTTCCCCCCGTTTTCTCTGGTGACGGCGGAATTGCCTGTGGTTGAGTAGGCAGCTTCATCGCTGAGGTGTCTCCTTTGGTTCCACTCCCGCAGCGTGGTGCTTCGTTCTGAACGCCGGGTTTTGTGAAAGCGGCAGCCAACTCTTTGTGTGTAAAGGCAGTTTTGCCGCGATTGTGGGCTTTCTGTTTGGTGTATGCCGGGTAGAAAGTAATACAATTCTGACAACATCAAAATAGCGTTAAGAACCCTGCATGTAGCAGGGGGTTGAAAGTAGATGATCATTATGGTCCTTTTCAACCTAGGCCATTCTATGATTCTGTGATTCTATGAACTATTTCAGGACAGCAGTACCAAATGTGCCTGGTTCTGTGATGCTGATGGCTACTCTGAGCAGGGACACACATGCAGAGCCTGGTGGCTTCTAGTGAGCTTCAGAGATTCCTTTCTCTATGTGAAGATTCTGTGCTTCAGAAAAGGAGGTGTCAAAATCGGGGATTTATTTGGTTTGTTTCTGCTCCTTCGAGGTTAACACAAGAGCTGGCTTTCTTTTTTCCTAGAGTTTCACAGTAAATCAGTGGAGGCTTTTGCTGAATTGTTTGCCTGTCACTCAGTAGTGCTTAAACACAAGTTGTGGAGGCTTTCTGTGAGCTTGCAGAAAGTGCTGTTTCCTTGTGTAACAGCAGCAATGTGATGTAACCCAGCAGGGCTCTGGCAGGGCAAGTGTCCCGCCTGGTGCAGGGCACAGCCTCACGCTGCATCACTTTTGCCTGGTCCTTTCCCACTGGACATGTGAGCCATGTATTGTGAGCTGTAGCATGCTGACGTGTCTGAGCCAACTTGCAGTTCACAGGATGCTTGTCTGAGATGTGTTAGGAATGGTCCACTGATTGCAAAGATGGGAAGACCACAGGTAGCAGCGGACAGGCATATTTCTTTCTTGTCTTGGTTAAGCTGAAATGTTTCATAAATCACACTCTCACCATGCTTTTTGTCTGTGTGGGGCCCATCATCTTTACAAAATTAAGGCAACCCTTACCCTACTTGCTTCTTTAGCCTCAGAATGTTGTGGTGATGTAATGGTGTTATGAACCAAAGAGGAGATGTGTGCTGGTCTTCTGCAGTGCTCATCTCATTGGCGAGCAGATTACAGGACCGTCCCTGAGTGCTAGGCACTGCTTATCAGTGCCATTTGGTCTCTGCTGGTCCAGTGACAGCTGGAGCACTCCAGTCCGGGGTTGTGCAGGGGAAACATAGGGTGCAGGAGTGGCATGGCTGTTGGAGAAACCTGCTTTGAAATAGCGAAGTGAACATCAGTGCTTAAGAAAATGAAGTAATAAATCAAGTTGGGTTTAGGAGCACTTGATCCAGCTCCCACTAAAGTCACATGTTGCTGAATCAGGGTTTTGGCTTGCACCACTCAGCAGATGCCAAGCTCCCAGTATGCAGATAGGTGCGTATTGAGCAGCTTGGCGTGTGAGCGTTGGGGCAGGCTCTGTGAGCACTGTGTTGCTGTGGTTGGGCTGTGCTGTTTCTTTCGTTTCATTGCACAGTTTCTGAGTCCAAGGATGGTTCATCTTGTTTAGCTGCACTGTTCTCTATGTGAGAGAGGGAAGTTGTGCATCGGGCTTTGAGAAGCCTCTGTGCATCTCCTCAGAGACCTGTAGACCAAAGGCAAGTTGTGAATGTCAGAGAACTATAGAATAACCTGAGTTGGAAGGGACACACAAAGACCATTGTGTCCCAACCCTCCCCCTGCACAGGACCACCCAAAAAACAAACCCTATCCATCTCTGAAAGCATTGCACCTTGATTTCTTCCAGTGCTGTGCTTGATGCTAGATCAGGTGGGGAGCAGGGTGCAGTGCGGTGTGGGACAGTTTCAGGACATTCTTTGTTCAGTGTAACTCTACACAGATGTTACAGACACTTGGCTTGGCACCATGTCTCCAGTAGCCAGGTGAGCTCATCCAGCTCACTTCAGTTCCTCCTCACAGAAGGTTCCCTTTAAGCCAGTGCTGTGCTTGCTTTATTTATGGCAACCTTGTGCTTGCAAGCTCTGCTCGTAGCTTTGCCAGAGGAAATGTGTTTTTTGTTTGCATGCCCTTCCAAGAATTTGGAGTTCTAAACAAGCTGGTGCTGCTTTCTACTCAGTCATGACTATCTTGAGTGCCACTTGTTTCTGTGCAGCAGGATCTCAGGTTCTTCTGGCAGGCCCAGGACTTGTGTGCCGGTGACAGGGGAGGCCTCCACAGTGCTGGCCTTCCTGCTGTGAGAGAATTTGGGCACCGGAGCATTGCTCCTTGCTGCAGAGATTTTCCAAGAGGAAAGCTGAGAACAAACTCAATGGTTTCAATTGAAATCTTATGAATTATGCATTTTGCTATGGGCTGAAGATTTTTTATTTTTTTATTTTTTTCCCAAAATGTCAGTTGAAAGAGTTCGGCAACATCTGATGCTGAGGCAAGAGGGAAACAATAGTTTTTGCTTTGAGTTCTGCCAGCTTCTTTTCTGAATGACTGTAATACCCTTATGCTTTAGAGCATGCAGTTAGGCTTCGGCATATTGTGACAGTTCTGAAGGGGATGTTTTCTCTGCTGCTGCTTTGAAAGTGACTTTTTTTAATGGCTTGTAACAACCAAATTTAGGCACGCATGGCTGTGACAGAGATGATGCATTTTCTTTGTCTGATAAAACTGAAATGTATCCAGTTCTCATGGATCTGTTTCCTAATACTGACCAGGGTGTGTGTGCCACCTGTTTTCATCCCAGCCCAAAGTGGTATGTGAGACCTGACTTCCCTGTGAAAGTGTAGAGGGGCTGAGCCAAACTTCAGGGCTAAGAACTGTACCTGCCTGCCTCTGCATGTCTGTGCAATGTAATGGAGTACTTTCCTTTCCTTGAGGAGGTTGGAGATCTGCCTCATGGTGCAGCGTTGTGTGGTGGTATGCACTGCTTTAGGCCCAAAAGGAAAAGGAGAGATGGCTGTTAAAAGGAGCTGACATGGGATTTGTGTTAGTTAAGCAGTGGCAGTAAGAGAAAGATCTGCAGGTCTTCTCTGGTTACTGTTCAGGTTGGATATTAGGAAATATTTCTTCTCAGCAAGAGTGGTGCTGCAGTGGCACAGGCTGGTGCCACTTCAGGGAGGTGGTGCAGTCACCGTCCTGGAGGTGTTCCAGAGCCATGTGGATGTGGCAGTGAGGGACGTAGGCAGTGGGCATGGTGGGGTTGGGATGGTGGTTGGACTGGATGATCTTAGAAGTCTTTAACAAACTTAATGATGCTGTGGTTATGATTCTTTTGGTGGAGAGGTAGGAGACTGCAACTGGCAGATGGAGAACACTATGAGGCAAGAGATAAAGGCAGGGCTGGGAAATACATCTGTGGGTGTGGGAAACAGAAATAAATCCTAGAAGAAATGATCGGTGTGACCTAGAAATGGGGTGGTCAGACCGGGAGATGTAAATGGACTTGGTTTAAAAAAGAAAACAACAACAAAACCACTTCAGAATAGGCGGAGTCAGAAGTAGTCAAGATGCAGCGTTGGGACAGTGCTGGAAGAGATACAGCTGAAGGCATCAGTCTTGAAATTTAGATATAGAGGTGTGTATACCAGCTGCTCTAGGATGCTTTCTCCAGAATTTGGCAGAAAACCTGTAATTTTGGAGTGTTGTAACTTTCTTATTCTCATTCAAGAGTGTGATCATCTGTTCCTTCAATCTTTGTGAAAGGATGTCTTTCAGCCCTCTCTCAGAATGGAGTTTCAGAGTTGTTTTTTTAAAAAAACTGGAGAACTTCTTACGTGGAGAGGTATATAAAGACAGCATATAAAGACAGTGAAGGCAAAATTAAATGTTGGAAAAAAACTCTGCAGTTTTAAATTTCTCCTGTGCCCATAAGTTGTGGTACAGCTATAATTGTGTGATCACAAAGTGTATATCCACGTACAGAATCATAGAATCACAGAATATCTTAGGTTGGAAGGGTCTTTAAAGATCGTCTAGTTCCAGTCTGCTTGTTGCCACCCAGCAGATCAGGCTGTCCAGAGCCCCATCCAAACTGGCCTTGAATGCCTCCAGGGATGGGACATCCACAGCTTCCTTGGGCAACTAATGTGATGATGTGTGTATCTGCATAAACAATGTGTATAGCAATATACACACCTGCAAATATTTATACGTGTGTATACCCATCTGCCCACAGGACCATATCCAGCATACAAAACTGATAACTGCTGAAAGGATGGGAGGGGAGTAGCAAATGGAGAAGTTATCTATGGGACTCCTGCTGTTCTTGTGGCAGATGTTTGAAGGTGTGAAATAAGTGAGGTGAAGGCAACTGGGAAGTTGTTTGTGGTCTCTCATTTAAAAAAAAAAAAAAAAAAAGGTTTCACTGTTAATGTAGTTAAATGCTGTCCTAGATAATTGACCTGTGTTGTTGTTGCAGAGTTCCAGTGTGACGTGAGTGGTTTAGAGCAAGCTTCCCACAGGTGGTCACTAGCTGTGTGTTCTTCGTGTAGTGGATACCTAAGGGATCTGTGTTGCAGAAATGCTGAGTGCCTGCAACTGTAATAGGAGCCAAGAGGACTCTGTTCTTGAATAGATATTGAGCGTGTGATTTTAAATATTTATTAATCTCTCAAGTCAGGCAGTCAGAATTTGACCTTGCTTCATAATTTCACCATTTGTAATGTGCAATTTCTTAGGTGTATTTTGAA